ATATAGGGATTTTTTTTCCCCACACCCCCCCCCCCCCCAAACCAGAAAAAACATCGCTTAAGAAAGTTCCTGGTTGACCAAACTTCTGGACATGGATACCCTGTTGTCTCTAAGTTTATCCTTCATCTTGTTATTGCTAACTCCACATTTTTTCTCTTTGAATCATGTTGACTCATTAGCGGGGCCTACTTTTCTTCCGTTGGAAATTTTGTAGCTTGTAGAATTAACTTTGAATATCTTTCTTTTACCAGACTTTGGCATGATGGGCGAATTTAAGCAAGAACTCCGTGATGGATTCATTGAAGCTTGCCTCCATCTTGTAAACCGCGACTTTGATGCATTGGCTAAGGACTTCGTCACACTAGGGTATTGTCTTTTCTACTCATCTGCCCTTCACTAAGTACAAAGGTTATTCTCATTAATGTTGGTTCTTACATGGCCGATTTTTTATCAAACTTTTCAGGCTTCTTCCACCAACGGCAGACAAAGAGGCTGTAACGAACGCTTTAACAGGTTTCTCTTCTTTTCTAGATGAACCTACATGTTTTATGCATCAATTTCTACATCTAGATCGTCTTTTGGTTGCTCTTCACGAATGCTATAGGCTTGTTTTTTCACAACTCAAGTTCTATTGCTACAGTGTTTTGTCTCACAAAAATTCAAATTCAACTTTTTTGCTACAATGTTTTTCTCTCACATACACAACTCAAGTTTCTTAACTTGAGTTGTGAAACAAACATACCCTAAGTGTTTTCTGGTGTCATTAACTCTATTTGTCTGCAGGTGTTTTCCAAAATGCTGTTGCCAAAGGAGTTCGTAATATCAGCTTTGGAGACCTCTTAGGGAACTTAGGAGTCACCATGTAAGGTGTTCTCTTCATGCTCTATACATATGCACAAACACGGAGATCCTTTGTCGTTCAATTTCCCTTTAATGGTTTATTATTATTATAATATAATAAAAGCTCCTTTCATTGCTAAAAACCAGTTTTATGAATGAAAGGAGAAAAAGTTGTAATAACCAATTTTTTTTTTTATCAGAAAAGCTCCTCTTTCATTAATGGTTTTAATAACCAGTTGTAGTGTAAACAGAGAAAGACAGACACACACACACACACACATACCCACAAAAAAAAAAGGGAGAAAAAGTGGAGAAATCAAAGAGATATACTTGAATTTTGCGCCTGAGGAAAATGTTGTGTTTTTTTAGCAAGTTTTTGTTGCGTCCAGACAACAAAAATTCTCAAATTCCTTTTTAAGATGATACATTCCGAAACCTAAGAGAGGACATGAGAATGATTTGTGATTATCATATGCATTTGTTTCAGAAAGATATTTCTTGTCGAGGTACCCCGTTTCTGCCTTTGTTGCCTGCATATTTGCAACTTATCCACAGAAAATATACCTAACCCGTACATTTTATCTATCAGATTCCTTAAATATACTTACATGACGAAACCTTGTTATTCTCTCTCTAGATTCATTGTTATTGGTATTGTTCTGTAATGTCTCATTTGACTCTTTTCTTTTCCTTTTGCAGGTATAAGTTCAAATTTAGAATTCCTTCATATTTTTCTCTTGTCATTCGAAGGTAGCTTTCAAATTTTTATGAAATATCTGATGGATCATGGACATCATTCTACATGACTTATCATCTTATGAAACTGTTAGTAAAGTTAAGTATTCTCCGATTCTCAGTCTTGCTGTGTTGGAGGGAATTGCCATCAGTTTTAATCCAGATTATAAAGTTTTGGGTAGTACATACCCATGGATTGCTAGAAAGGTACTGACTGATAGTTCACCCAAGCTAAAGTCGTCACTGCAATCACTTCTTTACGAGGTAAAGCCAGATTTCCTTGCGTTTATTATTATTCTATGTTAGGAACCCGAAAATCTGAGCTTCATTAACAACACTAAAAATGGAAAATTACAGGAATATTAGGTTCCTAACATTCTAGGTTTTATTTTATTTATTTTTTGTTTTTATTTTTACTGCATTTGGCAGTCTGAACTGTTACTACAGTTAATAGGTATGTAATATACTTTGTCATACTAAGAACTTGATTCCTGGATCTTGCACTTTCAGGAAGGTGTTTTTAGAATTGATCGTTTGGAGTCTCTGCTAACAGAGGTGAATCTCATTCTCTCTTTCTTGCTGTCCTACTCTTTTTCCTTCTACTATTCAAACTCTCAACTAAGAAATTTGAAGTCAGTTGTTTTTTGACTAAGAGGCATTGATTTGGCAACTTTCCGAAATGCAGCCCTGCTCCCCCCAGCACTTGGGAGTTGTAAAAGATATGAACCAGGAAAAACAAATTCCATCGACTAAAACAGATAATTTACCTTTTCTTTGAACTTATCAGCACAAAGAATTAGTTGATCTCTGTCTGAAGAAATCATTAATCAGAGTTATTTTTGTCTACTAAATTGGTCTCAGTTGGTCAATGTTACACTTCATCTGGACAAACCCGATTCCTTTGATTGTAAACGACAAAGGTCAAAGCAGACTGTAGAGGCATGGTGACAAACATTTCTTGATGGCCTGTGCACATTCTAATTCAATGGGGTCACTAATAAGAGGATTAGACTGCTGTCAGCCAAGTGTGAAAGTTATCTTATAGCTCTAAACAGATAATTTTGACCAAGACCTCAAAATAGATGTCTTAAAGAACTTAGAAGAAAGTAGTGCATTTCGTGTAGGTGATTAAGTTGAAGCGTTGACTGTGTCGTTTGGAGTGCCTCATAGTGGAATCTGCAGTCGTTCAGGCTCTTTGGAACTGTGTCAGAACGAGGAAAGTTGTGGTGCCTTGAATTATGAAAAAAAAAAAATGGCGTGGCCTTTATTTTCGAAACTGGATTAAGATAAATTTTGATTTCTTATTTTAAGCAGACAATCTTTGATAGCATCTCATGGCATGTTTACTTGCATATAATCAGAATGGGCATGAATCAAAGTGGGTAGAATTCGGAATGAGGATTCAGAGTCAAAATAAGTTGTTTACTTAGATTACAGGATTCAAAATTAGTTACTGTGAATCAGTTTATGTATTTACTTAAACCAAGTGTTAAAATTGAAATATATTGTTGAATTGCAATAAAATAAATTATATACTTACTGAAATATATTGTTGAATTGCAATAAAAAATAAATTATATACTTACTATAATGAAGTTAGTTATAATTGAGTTAGTTATCATAATGTTAGGGAAAAAAAAAATACTGAATATAGGTTTCAGTTGTTTTTTCATTTCTTTGTTATCCAACAATTTGCAACTACATTATGGGCAAGATAGTAATTTGATATTACTATCAGGATTGAGAGTCCTAATTGGCATGGGGTTGCCAATCCCATTCCTCCACCAAATTTTGTATCAGCGAACCCAATCCGACTCCCATTTCATGATAGAAACGAATAAATAAAATATGGGATTAACTTCCATTCCTCACTTCTGCTAAAATAAAACATGCATCAAAGTGGTTGCTTGAGATAAAAGTGTTGATACTTAGTCTTATTGTATTTTAATATAGCTGAATCACTGACCAATTATCTCATGCATTTGTAGCATTAGTTTTTTTATTCTGTAATTACTTTTTTTAATGTTGTTTGGTCTTATTGGTTTAATTAATCTATTTAGATTAACAATTAGCCTTCTCGCAGTCCCTTCGTGCCAGAACAGAAAAGGCCTTGGTTCAAAAACAAGGAGAAGCTGCTAATTCCAGGGCAGTTATCAAGCAAGTACTTTCTTTGATGTTAACCGAAAAGGTGGGATTGCATGTTGTGTCCCATTTTCAGTAATTGGTCCAGATCATGAAAGTAATACCATGTTTTTAACAATTGTTTAACAACGAAATTTTCAGGGTGCCTTTGTGAGGGATATACTTCTTCAAGAATTTGCCAAGGTAGAAACGTTGAGCTCATAATGCTTGTTTTATTTTTCTCTTTTCTTGATGCTACGTTTAGACAATGGGAAGGGGAAATGAGCCATGAATATATGTTATTTTAGTCATAGCATACAGTTGAAAATTTTGAAGTAAGACGAATGAATATATCTTTAATGTGCCTAGGGTGCTCTCATTTTGTTTCAACTTCACTACTCCTGAACCACAGTTTCACTTTACAAGGAAACTGTGTCCAAGTCTGTGATTCTTTACGTCTCTATTTGTCCGTTTCTCTTCCTTGTGTGTTTAGTGTTCAAATCTATCTGGTAATTGACAAGATTTTAGTGCTCTTTTACTCTCTTTTTTTAGTTCTTTAGATATACAAGAAAATGATGAGTAATAGTTTCAAATTAGTTTCTTAATTGATTTTTCTTTCTTTCTTTCTTTCTTTTTTTTTTTTTCAGTTCTCAATTAGTTTAAAATTGAAGCTATTTTTTATTCGAATATGTCCCCGTTTAGAAAGTTTTCTAAGTGATGATGGTGGATATAGTAAATTGTCTGGACACACTGGTCGATTGATTTTTATTCATTAAAACAGATACAATAGTATAGCATCCGTTTGACCATGTTCTTGATCCAGTTATCTATGACAAGTTTTTTCTCACTAGTCTTTCCTAAGAGTCTGGCTGTGTATTAGAAATGAGAAAATTACTGATACCTTCTAATCTGAGATGAAGCCAAACTTTTTTTTTGTTATTTTTTTTTCTTTTTATATATATAACGAGACGAACCCTAATCTAAACAGAGTTTCTAAGTATATACTCCTTTATGAAAAACATGCTAATGTTATAGGGATTGGATGCTCTTGGGCTAGCTATATCTTCTGCAGCAACTTCAAACTTTCCTTTTGGTGCTATTTTTCCCTCGTCCAGAATGACAGATGAAGACAAAATTAACTTAAGGACCTTGCATCGCCTCTTGATACTATTGTCAAGGATTGAAGACACAAACTCCAACAGGGTAAGAACTTGAGCTCATTTAGTTTTGTAATGGAATCAAATAGAGATGAAAAAGGAAGCAAGAACTTATATAATTTGCTCATCGTTATGAATATTGACTTGATTATTTTAGATTTTAGTTTTCTGTTAAAGAATCCGAGCGTAGATCTCTTGCTAATGGGGAAATTTTTCAATAAAGTCACCCTTAAGTATTCTATCTTTGCATGTATGCATATGTATTTCCGTATGTGTCTTAAACATCACTGGCTAGCTTATTTATTTATTTATTATTATTATTATTTTTGTGTGAGTCTGTGTATGTGTGTGTGTGAGAGAGAGAGATAGGGAGAGAGAGAGAGAGAGAGGGCTCTTTGTTGCTTCCGTGTTAGAATGGTATACATACATGCATTCATCTCTAATTGTTTTGTAACCCAGACATGAGTGATGCGTTTGAAGATCTAGTGAAGTTAGCAAATTTTTACATGCGAAGTATCTTAATGTTCAATTCTTATTTTATACGTGGCTTTTCTAGCTTAGCCTTTCTCACTCAAACATTCCGCCTGTCTTGATTTTTATCGCTTGAATCTTCTTACTGCAAGTGTAAACTGTTACAACTAGGCAAAAAGTGTATGTAGGTCAAGGTATATCTACCTTTTTCAGTTGAACTGAATTTAATTAATGTGTTTAGAACTTTCTCATTTTGTTCCTCTTGTTATAGCCAGTTATTCATCATGCCATTATTCTAGCAAATTAAAGCTTATGAGCAATAACTCTTTTAGTCTACCTGCAAAAATCAATTACACTAATCATTATGCCTTTCCCCCCCCCTCCCCCCCAAAAAAAAAGAGTATCATACACTGCAACGATGAATTTTCTATATCATCTTCTTCCATGTAGGAAGTTAGAGTTGGCCCACAGAAGAATGAAGAAACAAACTTGGAGGACGTGTCATTAGTGTTGAATCAACTTGCTGTTCAAGACATTCTACCTATCCTTTCTTTCATCTCTGAGGTACAGAACTATACTATATTTTAATGTTCTGATGCATGTAAGCTATGTAAATCCATCCGCATACACGTACGAACGTGAGTTGCAATTATTAATGTCTGATATTGCCGATCACCGTCTTGTCGAATTAGTCTTGGAGTTCGTATATAAGGTGGCTCAAAAGTTTTTGAGTAAGCAATCGTGTTCTGCGGGAAATTGCGGACCTAAGTGAGTTTGGCATTGCTAAAGGACCTTTCCTTTATCACTGTGCCCTTTTGGTAGACTGGCTTCGGCAACCATTATGCTGCTCTATATGAGGATAGCATTAACTAGTGTTTCGTGCATCAAAATTCTCCCCAAATACCTTAGTACATTATAACTGTGGTCCCATTTTCAGATTTCTTTTTATTTTTTTTAAATTCTAAATTAAGAGATTTTATTCCATTTTCTCGCTTACGCACGTATGTAATTCGTCATATGACAGCTCCCTCCAGAATCACAGCAACAGCTACTGAATCTACCGGCCGATCTGTCTGGACGGTTAATCTCCCGTGTTGCTGCGAGGACTATCAGAAGGATGGTTTTGTGAGAATCAAATGAGAATTTTCCGAGAGCTGGTTCTCGGATCCAACTTATTTTTGTTCTTTCTGGCCAATTCATATGTAAAAAGGATTTTGTACAGTGTTTTCCTCTTCGGAATACTTTTCTCGGTTCATTTTCTATCTGATTTAACTCTTGTGGGAAGCAAGAGTATAATACAAGAGAAGTCATTATTACAAACGTACAAACACACATACACACATATACATTGAGTCACTTTGATGATCGTATTTTCATTGTGACTCGGGAAAGTTTGGAAATGATCCGGAAAGGTGATGATAAATAAATTTCAATTGCTCGCCAATACTAATCTCGTTTTCATTATCATTACTATTTTTTTTTTTTCTTTTAGGATGTTTTTGCATAACTAGAGTAATCAAACGAGAATTTTCATTGGACTTTCAACTAAGGTTCCACTGTATGTAATTACAAGTTATTTTCATTACGCTTTCAACTAAAAAAACAAATTCTTCATTAAATGTGGGTACTAGGTCTTCAAACTCTTAATTTATTCGTACCTTTAGTTCTCATTTTAAGAATTTCAAACTCGTAATCTGTTAACATTATTAGTCATCATCTTCTTTTTATTATTAAAAGCTATAGGAGATGCCAATGTTTTGAGGTTTTTTGTGACATAGATATGCAAAAACATATTTTTATTTTTTTAAAGCTCACTTTTTTTTTTGTTGGTCCAAAAGCAATGTTAAAATGTTGTAGCATAAAATTTATTATGATAATTAATTACAACAAAATGATTGATTATAAAAAGAAAGAAAACGAGATATTCATAAATATCATATAGGAAATTGCCATCCAATCCATTATATTTTGGGTAAGTGTTCTAAATTACAACGATTTAACTAGATAATGGTAACGCAATAATTAGTTGTCTGATTACATATTTTTTATAATCCTCAATAATATTAAAGATCTCTGGGACAGAAAAGTAAGTAATTAGACAATTGATTGTTGTGTTGCTGTTATGTAGTTACATAGTCGTTATTTGGAATAAATTACCCAAATACTATAAAATGGATGGCCAATGCTCTCAACGATTTTTATGAATTTTTTGTTTTTTCTATTTATAATCAATCGGTTTGTTGTCATTGATTGTCATAATTAACTTTATACTCGGACATTCTAACATTATTTTTTGACAAAAAAAATAACTTGTTTATATGTGTGTGTGTGTTTTTAGGAAAACAAAAAAAAAAAACTCAAAAAATTGACATGTTTTACTACATTTAACAGCAAAATAAAGATGGGGACTTAAGGTACTAATAAATTAAGAGTATGGGGATCTAAGTGTCTAAATTTTTAAAGTGAGAACTAACAGTACCAACATATTAAGAGTATGGGGACTTGAGGATCCAAATTCTCAAAATGGGGACCTTAAGTGCCAAAGGTAGTAAAGTTTGGGACCTATAAAGTAAAATTTCCTATAAAACGATACGATACAATACAATACAAATGAACTGTATTTATAATTCGACATAAATTGTATTAATTCACCATTGCATATTAACTTATACAATACAATAATTATAATAAAAATTATATCAATGTGTTATTATTCAATATGGTGTTTTAATGCGGTCCACCAAACATAATTACTTAATAGTCACTTTTTTTGGTTTATTTTACTTCTAGTCGCTTGAATAGGATAATGCTAGAAAGACAAACTCTAATATAAATTTTATAGTTACTTCTGCATAATACGATAATACAATTTAACGAACATAGCCTTAAATTAGCACGTGCTACAGAGGATAGTGGGCTAACCACCTATCAAACATACGGAAGCACTCCTCGGGGTAGTACTGAGGTGCCGTGTGTCCACCTCCCTGCACAAATATGAAAGATTATTATACTTTAAATGCAAAAAGAGTGTGTATACGTATGAGAGAGAGAGAGAGAGAGAGAGAGAGAGAGAGAGAGAGAGAGAGAGAGAGAGAAGAAAATCTTATACCTTTATAGTCGCATACGTTAACTGGTACTTTTTATTTGTATATTTCATCGTGTATCTACAATTACAAATTAAGAGGGAAAAATAGTGAACAAAGAATGAATATAAAACCTACTAAAAATCTAAATATATGTGGGGGGGAAAAAAAAATAAGAGAATGAAAAACAAGAAAACATAAAATTTAGATCATGGCTGTACTAACCCTAGAACCTCATGGTGGTCAGAAAACCATGGTCTCCAGTCATAATCAATCGCCAAGCCTAAGGATTCTATCCATTCTATGGTGCTAAAATAAGGAACCACCATGTCATGATCGCCACTGCACAAAACCCGTCAAGAGAATAGTAATAAGTCTCCAAATTTATGTCAACCAACAAATCAGCATGTTATTAGTATATTGTTATGTTAATCTTCTTTTTTTTTTTAAAAAAAATTTTAAGGTAAAACAATTTCCCTTCGTTAACAACAACAACAACCACAATAAGTAACTCCTATATTTGTATCCTTGATCTATAAGAAGAGGTTTAAGATATAAAGGGGATATTCCTCCATAAAATTTAATAAAATAATCAGGTGAATTAGGCAAGCACTTGGCCAAAAGAAATATGTTACCTGTAAATTAGAGCGCGAAGAAATTTCTTAGTGAGGTTTCGATGATAAACCACACTACTTTGCACGTCGAAAGTGTATGGTATGCTGCGATTGCATCTTGTCCATGTCGTTTTTGTTTCCTAGCTCAAATAGTGGAGTATAATTATTTGATAACAATTTTATATTTGAAATCAAAAGAAAATAAAAGAATAGCGTATTTAATATGTTATTTTATTATATACTCTAATGTATAACGTTTATATTTATTTTTTTGTTATAATTATTATGCTTTAGTGATTATAAAAATAAACTTTTAATTTTAAAATAATAATAAAACAATTACAATGTTGTAATGTGAATAGTCCATATATTAACACATAGTAATTTATAAAAACTAAACTTTTACATATATGGTGTTAAATTTGAAATTTAAAACTAAGTGTAGCATCTACTAAAGTTTAGACAAAAAATATAACTATATTGGGAGAATAATTTTCTTATTCAAAATATAAAAATTGCCATTAGCACTAATTTGACACTACAATAAAATTGTTCTTATTGGAATTAAATACTATGGCCTACTAATTTAATGAAATACAATGATGATTTTTACTACTGAAGAATACAATGATGTTACTCTTACAGGAAAAACATATAAGCATACGTACCTCCCGAACTTTCAGAGACTTTTTGACTTCTTTTTTGTTTCCCCAATTCTTGGTAAGCCAACGTCCTGCTTCTATCTACAAGAATACTCACTATAGTTGGTTAATTAATTTAGGGCTCGTTTAATTTGCTGATTCGAGTTTTTAATTTGAGTTAAAATGTGACTTTATGTGAAAATTTTTTACTATAATAAAAAAGTTAAATGTGACTGTTTCTGAGAGCTTTTTACTATAGTAAAACTCGAATCGGTGAAATAAATAAGGCCTTATTCTCTCTTACAAACACATGTAAACACATTATATAGTTTCAACCTGGGTGAAAAGAAAAATGAAATTCAAACCCGAGGGATAAAAAAAATATGAAATCTATAAATTGGTTCTGTGGGGGGTCTTTTTTTTTTTTTTATAAAAAAAAAGATAAAAAAGAATTACCTGACATAGATTTTTAAAAGGAAGGGGGACAAATCCTACGAAATTGTCTTCAGAAGATTGTCTATTTTCCATCTGTAATATCCTTTGTTCGCCAAATGGAGGTTGACAATGTCTAGGTAGCAATATCTGATTTTTGAATATGTCTCCAATACACTGATAACGTTCGAGTAATTTTATCAAATAAGTAGAAAAATATGAGAATATATGGTATATATGTATAAACATACGTACAAAAATCACAAAGAAAAAAGAAAATAAAAAAAAAATTATAATAATTCGTTCATCCTAGCTAGTTTTGCTTACCTCGTTCACAACTTTGAGATCCTCAATGCATGGTACATTATTTGGATCCACGTCATCTGTATCTTCTCCTTTGCAATTTCTTGCCGCTGACTTTAGGAAATAACATTAAATTAAACATTGAAAGTTATGTTCATAGAACAGTATAGTTTAGATTTTTGTGGTATAAAAGAGCTTTACATAAAATGACAAAAAAGACAATATAAATAATTATATAATTAAATTTTATTTAAAAAAAGAAACTGATGATAGAGAACTTTTTTATTCTTCTCACATTATCCTCAAACTATAAACAATTGCTATATTGTTATTTATAATAAAATTCTAATTTTCGCCTTTCAATGATTATTCTAAAAAAAAAAATTATATTGAGATATGATAAATTTTTTTGTTACTTGTATGATGATATTTTTTCTATTTTTTTCATTTCACGTTTATATCTTTTTCTAATCATTTAGTTTTTTTAAGACAAATCATTTCACTGTTTTTCTTTTTTTATTGTCGAATTAATTTTTTTTTCCTTAATTCCTTTAATTTATAAATATGAAATTCCTCATCAGTTAGCAGCTTAAGGGTTCAATCATGTAGGCGATAAATTTGGTTGGAGGAAGTGTCTGAGTGGCGCTTCTCCTAATTTGAATTGATTCATGATTCTAATAGAGCTGCAATCAATCCGTTATTGAACTTGAAAAAAAAAAAAAAAAAAACGCTTCATGTCCAAAATTTCAACCAAAAAAGAAAAGAGAAAGAGATAAACGATAATATTAAAAGAAAAAAAATGAAATGATCAAGAAATAATAATAGTATTATTAGTGCATTTTTTGTGTTGGCTTATTTTTGGCAAATTGGTTGTAAGATTGGTTGGCATTGTAAATTGGTAGTCCTCTTAAAGAAAGTTTGGTTGTCATGTTTATTGGTTGCAAATTAAGAGTGGACTTTCTGGAGCATTATGGCTGGCTCTTCTAAGGAAAGAATTGTGAGAAATATTGAGAATGATTGTCTTCTTACTGTCATTAGAGTTGGTGACCTGATTTATGGTGTTAATGGAGGATATATTACCTTTTGGGTGTGATTATTGTCGGTGGGAGAGTGTTGCTGATTGTTGGATGAAAAACAAAGTGGTATGAGGGTTTGTGATGATGAGGGCAGAACGTGTAATGAACACACAGGGCTGAAAACAGAAAAGTTGCATTTGTCCATATCAGAATGAGATTGTAATGTTAAGTGTCGCTTGATGTGTCGCAACGAATTGTTAGAACGCTTTCGAGTTGGTTCTCCGGGAGAAGATTTCTTTGGTTTCGGGAGGAAACCGTCAAGTCGAGTGGTACTCGCTGATCAACCTTTCTAAGGAGATTCTAGGCAACGGCGACAACATCAAGGAAGGAGTCGTTGAGTGTGTAAGACCGTTTGGTCCTTTGTAATCTTTTGAACTTAGTGGATTGATCATTGTCTGGACGTGGCCCCGCAGAGTAGGTGTGCGCACCGAACTGCGATATCATTTTGTTGGTGTCCTTTATGTTTCTGCATTAGTTTCCTGCTTTACTATTTTACTAGTTTAATTTTAGATTTTCTGTCACAAAAAGTATTACAGTAAAGTGTTGCAACACCACTTGTGACACCAGGATAAAAACGGACCTTACAAGTATGAAATTAGTTAGGGGTAATTTGGTAATAATAGGGGAGTGTAAAAAGTAAATATAATCATTTAAAAATTAAAGGGATTTGGAGAGTAAAAAATGGGGTGTGAATAGAACCACCACCATAATAATAATAATAATAATAATAATAATAATAATAATAATAATACTAATTCGTACCTTGTAGATCCTATCAGACAAAAGCCCCATTCGATGTGCGAACTCCAAAAATGCATAATGTTCCTTTCTTGTGTCCGTCACAGGGTTTCCAAGTATGTATCCCTATTGCAAATATAATTAATGGCGTTAGAAGCAACTTGAACCATAAAATAGTCACAATTAAAAGTTTGTTGTTAAAGAAATGGAAATTAATTTACGAATAACTAAAAGTAGCTAGTACTTTAAGATTTATTGGCGGCTGATCTCCAGCTTCAATTCCTGCAAAATAAACAATTTGAAATTAATGTGTAGTAAGTAAGTAGATATCTAAAAATTAAAAAATAAAATTAAACAACAAATTAGTGAGTAAACAACTAGATTTCAGAAGTAGTACGCTGCCTAATTTACATTGGGGGATCTCCAAAATTGCTGAAGGGGCTGAAGCGGTGGCGTTTATGAAGAGTGTGGAGTTTGCAACGCAAAAGGGGTGGAAAAAGGAGATTAATGTGCTAAAGACATAGAAGATTGAAGGTCAGAATTATAATTTTACCCACCAATCCGATTACCCTTTGTGTTCCCGATCTTAATAGAAAAAAAAAATGCTTAGAGACACCACCGGTGTTAAGCACTATCACTAATAAAAGGTAGATTCTACCTATGAGTCCCAGACTGTGAATCCACCTTTTATTAGTGGGTAGTGCTAGCATGTAATGACCGAAAAAATTCTAAAATTAAATAATGTAAATTTACGTATTTAAGTTAAGGATTTTCCTAGATATCATGTCATATTTTGTGACTAAAAGATTTATGGAATTAATAATAGTATTCCTAAATTCTGTAGTAAGTTTTATGTTAAGCATATATGTTGTGATCGAGTAAATTCGGTCCATGACTTCTCATCGCAAATGAAGCGGGAGAATTTTTATTGTATATACAATATGAGAATCTTAATTTCAAGAATCTCTCAAATGCAGTGCGATGTTAGTAGCGTATAGAGAAACGCTCTGGTATTCAAAGAGAAAATTATTAATTTCCAAACTAATAAGTGGGAATTATAATGTTTAGTAAAGAGATACAAATATAATATAAACTCTGGAGTTGATACCGTCAGTAACGTTGTCATTCCTGGGATATAGCACATAAAAAGGTTTAAGTTTGAATTATGACTGTCAAACATATGTAAGTAAGCAGAAATTAAGGAGTAAGTATATACGTATGTATATATATATGCCTAAAAAAAAGAAAGAAATTATTTTGAAGTATAAATATTTTGTTATATTTAAGAAAGAAAATCAAAATTTATGTTAACATAACAAGTTTCAAAAAAAAAAAAATTAAAAAAGGTTCTTTAAATTTTTAAGAAGTTTCAGAAAGTATATATATTAAAGTTAGCTACGATAACAGCCATTTATGAGGGTCGTCACATGACACCACCAGTGTCCTATAACGTTGCTCAATAAAAAATGATAAACTCGATCCTTTTAATTAAGGGACAAGTTAAGAAGTCCTGCATGCCCCCATACCCGCCGTGTTTAATTTTTTTATTTTTATCCTAAAAAATTATAGTATACTTGTAAATAAATACATTGCAATATATACATTTTTTTCAAGTATGAGTACTTAGATCTGTTCTTGAGTTATATGATTATTGAGGCTAGGCAGCTAGGGTCCTTAGGGATTTTACAATTCTATCCACCAATATGATTACCCGCATGTCTCCGACCGAATGGGACATGATAGCCATGATTCTTTGCTGGTTCAAGAGTCCCAGCTCCCAAACCCGCCCCGTTTACTTTTCTTAATTTTGTTTTAAAAATATTTATGTATTTGTTAAATTAATAAGTTGTAATTCTTTTAAATATCAGTGCGTAGATATTAGTTACTTATATGAGGGACGAAGTGGAGCCTGTTAATTCGGAAATTCAGCATTTTTCAAATATTCCCGAGTGTTTCTGGTTTCTTCTTCAAATTTTGAGGCTATAGAGATTTCGTTAGAATTTAATGTAATGGCTCTTTTTTTTTTGGGTACTAAATGGGGTAGGAAATAGGAATACCGGAGGAAATATTGTGGGAACGGCTTGGATCAATTTACTTCCTCATCTTCTGATTGTAATGTGGAGTTCCCTTTTCTACAACAAGTCTTTTTTAACGCAGAAAAAAAAAAAGAGAAAAACATTTAAGAAAAAAAAATAATCAACTATGCGTTGTGTATCCCGATCTCTCATATAAAATGGGTCCCATCTCGGATCCATCTTTTGTGAGAGCATCTGACTCAAACCTAACAAGAATGATTTAGAGCATGTTCTTTTACCTAACTCAAATTTTTTACTACAGTATTTTCTCTTATAAAAATTTAAATTTAACTTTTTTGTTACAGTATTTTCTCTCACATACTAAACTCAAGTTCATAACTCAAATTTGAGAAAAAAAAACATACCTTTAAAGGCGTTCAACACTTACCGTTTGATAATTGTTGTACAACGATGGGAACGATTTTGCCTGAATAAGAATCTCCACCAATGTAGAGTGGATTTATGATAAATTTTGGATGACTGACAAGCCACTAATCAAAAATATTAAAGACAAGTCAAACAAAATTTTCTATAATAATTAGAAGATGCAGTACATCAAATATTTGTTAATAAAGATATTTGTTATAAGGTAATAATTGAAAACCACATCAGATCATAAGCAAATTAGTTTTGAAACCCCTTTAATTCATAATATCTACAAATATGTAAAAAAAAGTAAAGAGGCAACGATAGTTAAAGCATCGCCACTAATAGAAAGTGAATTCTATCTATAAATCTCACATTATAAGACACACCCTTTATTAATAGATAGTGCTTAACACCGTCATTTGCCAAATAACATTATGCATAAACAATATCTTACCTTTTTGATAAACTCAAAGACTTGTGCTCCGAATAAGGTGTCAGTAGTTGGGTATCCTTCTGAACTTATTGAATAAGAGAATCCAGTACCAGCAGGAGCATCTAAGAATATTATATTAGCTACCTAGAAAATATAAATTAAGTTAATATACTTTCCTTTTTCACATTCATAGAATATAATTGGCTGAATGAAGGAATATTATTGCAAAATCACAAGCGCTCATACCTTTGTCCATGAGTAAGGATTCAAAATAAGCGGTGCAGTATCTGTATTTGAATTTGAATAATCGAAAGATAGTGGACCTACATCATCAAATTAAAGCTAAGAATAAGAAGCTATTTCCTGATATAAGATGGGTAAAAATTCTTTATAAATTAATTATCATTTTTTTAAAATAAGTAGGGAAGGGAGAGATGTATTTTTTTTTCTTTTTCACTTTGTAAACTAGTGTATGATTTTACTATTATTTTTATTTTTATAAGAGAAACAAGGATATAAGTGCATGGATTTAAGTATTTACACTTTAATAGACATTTTAAGTTAAAATTGAGCGTTTTGTTATTTTCTCAAAAGAAAGAGAGTGTTCTTGAAAACAAATTAGAAAAAAGAGTGTATTAAAATCCGGCTTTTTACCGCCGGATTTTGGACCGAACCAGTACCGCCGGTTTCTGGAATATGGGACCGCCGGACCGACGCCAAGCCAAAAGGATGTGGACGAGAAAGAAATAGGGATAGCCGGAGAAGAGGAAGATGAGCAGAGAAGAAGATAGAGAGCCCGGGAAGAATAACTACAAGAGCAAGAGAGAGACTTGGTCGGTGTCGGTGTCGGTCCGCCGGCTTGGACGGTTTCCGGGGGTCGATTTCGGCTTCCCAGTTATTTTGTTCATCACTAAGAAAGAAAGAAAAAAAAGAATTTTGATAGCAAAAGTGCAATGAACATGATTCATTCTATCTATGTTGTAATAGGCAGTCGCAAAATATACGAGTCATTAGAGTGTATGCAGTTGCTGCGTTTTCATGGACTCAGGGATTAAATCGCAAAGGGAAAAAAAAAACTAAAATCCTTTAACACAGCAAATTATTAGAACACAAGTGGTAGAAGATATTAATGTAAAACTTACTAAACGAAATTATCTGTCAGTCTTTATCGACATATTTTCTATCAATGCTTAATGGAAATTCGAAATAGCAAGATTTGTCAATTTTTTTTTCCAAGAATCTGATTCCTCCTCTTTTCTGAGCAAATACGTGATTTTCAATTTTTGGTGCATTATTTGCTTTTCAGTCTTTGACCTTAATTAAGAAGAGCAGTACTATACTCGTCTAATATTGCCATGCATTTCTAGTTGATAATCTGGTCGATAACTGTAATGTATAACTTTTAAACGACTAATAAAATTAACCTCCAAACTGATGATAACAATAACATGGATAATTTGCAGGTGCACTCGAGCACTAATAAAACCGCCCCTAATTCTACCTTTTTCCCTTAAAAGTAATAACCGTTTTACCTTTTTTATTGGATTAGTAGTTAATTTAGTTTAGGTAGTACAATAAATATTGATTGATCAGGCATGCATTTATTTACAGCTCATTTTCATGGGGACGAAACTTAACTAGACATTATTAAAACGTGCGAGTTGCGAACAATTTTTTATTATTGTTTTTTTCTTCCTATATTTTCCTCGTACTGCTGCGATCCTATCTCATTTCTAGGAGCAAGATTCTTTAAATTTGTAGTTTTGTCTTTGTTTTCTCTTATTTTGCGTCAATGATTTTTAGATTTTGAATTCTATATCGTACTCATTATATCTCATTATTTAAAACTAAAAAAAATTCCAAACAGCTCCACTACTTAGTATGATACTACAATACTACAAGTTCAAAATATGTATTTGGAGGAAAAAAAAAACATGGAGAAAATAAAAGAAAATGACGTGCATACAAAAAATAATAATAATAAGTACCTACTATTTATTATATTATACTGCAATACAAGTTATTTTTCCTAAAGAGTTTTATTTAAATTTACTGATGGAATCAGTACCATATTTAATTTTGAGAAATTCAAAAAATATCCCTCATTTTAGATAAATCCTACTTTTATCATTGTATTATTATAACCTAAAAAATATCCCTCGAGTTCTTAAACTATCTCAAAATTATCCCCCGTGATTATTTTTTTTTAAGAAAAAGTATATATAACCCTTTAAGGGGGTTAAAAAAATCACATAAATACTCGTAATGATCAATATATAATTGTATCTTAAATATTAATAATTAAAAAACTAAATTTACAAAAAATGGATAAAATTTTTAATAAAATAAATCTACTTTTTTAAGAAAAAATATAAAACTTAACAGATTAGACTGGTTTAACTCCACAGTCCACACACGATCTTATACCCTCGTCATTGGCACATGAATAGTGGATATGGCCTTGTCAAATCCATCCCGTCCTAAATTCAATATTGCTCTGTAGTCATTTAACATGCTGGGTCTTTTCTTTTTTCCTTTATTGTATTTAGTTTTAAAGTTTATGTATTAAAAGTTCTGCATTAATAATAATAATAATAATATGTAAATAGTATTATCATTGTATTTCAAAAACTCTGATCATTTAAAGGGTTATTATTTTGCTCTTTTGAAAAACGTAGGGGATCATTTTGGGATAGTCTAAAAACATAGAGAATATTTTTTGAATTATGAAAAGAGAAAAATCTTATAGATAAATGCTGAATTTAGTTAAAACTGAAGGATATTTTTTGAACTTTCTCCATAATTTCATGCAATTTTGAAATAAGTATTGGACATGTTTGGTAAATAGATTCCAACTTTATATTTCTTTTATGTGTTTTATTAGTAGGTACCACATCTCTATCCAATTAAAAAACTTATGGCTCTCATACTCAGCAATTGCAAACCGAATTGTTCTGTCATATATTAAAATAGACATTCTTTACCGTGAGACTTTAAAAAATCTCCATCGGTAGAATCTTAACTTTTAATCGGATTAATTTTTTAACGGTTAGATCTGTAACAGAAATAATTTTACGTTACGCGTTATAAATTTTTAATACGAATTTATGCAAATCTGACCGTTAAAAATTTAAACCGGGGCTCTACTGATGAAAGTATTTAAGGGGTTCACCATCTAATTTGCCATTAAAATAATAGCGTTTCCATTTATCATCATCATTAAAGATATTTCTAAAAAAAAATAGCAATCTAATTTTATAAAACTGTTATTTTTAGAAAAAGTTAAAATCTGTCCTGTCAATTGTTTATCCTCACAATTATTCATATATATTTTTAGAAAAAGTGAAAATCTGTCCTGTCCAAAGAATTTTAAATGAAAAACCAAATTATACGTACCGATTTCATAAAGAAGGGCAGAGACTGAGGAGCAACACGGGCCTCCGGTGAGCCAAAGCAAGAGAGGATCATTTTCTGGACTCCTTTCGGACTCTACAAAGTAGTAGAAAAGCTGCAAATCCTCCGCATCTCCCACGCCCACATACCTTTATTATTTTTAATTTGGTACCCAAAAAAAAAGAAATAAAAAAAGCCAAGTTATACGTATAATTAACTAATATACGTACATTTTCATGACGTGCCTATATATTAACAAAATGGATTAGTCAGTAAAGAGCCAATTACCAGTATGTCAATGTTTGAGGCTTTTTTCTTTTAAATAAATTATAAGTAAAAACTCCATTAAGTGGAGTTTAAGTTTGAGATGGCGCAGATTAGATTCCGTGTTAAAAAAATAAATAATAATAATAATAAAAGAACTAGTAAAAGCTGCTAACCCCGTTTCAAGTTTGAAAGGGAGGTCGCCGGAGAAGTCCGTCAGAGTATTGATGATTGAGCGGGGAGCGGCGACGTCGACGTCGGCGATAAACAGCAAGATCACTAGAAGCACATGGACAATATGCCTGAAGCTTACATGGATTTGGATCGGCATCGCTATCCTTATTATCATTCCAATTACTTTTTAGAGTTGAGACATAAAATATTGGAAGATAAAAATTATGTACATATATTTGCGCAAGGGGTTCTCAACAGTGCACATACAAGTGTGTTTTGAGCCGTACACATCATATCAGAAGTGTTTGGATATGTCATGATGATTTATGGCAGCAAAGTTGTGAGATGTGACTCTTCGTTTTTTTTTTTTTTTTTTTTTTTTTTTTTTTTTTTTTTTTTTTTTTTTTTTTTTTTAACCATTTGCCCGTTTTGTTTTGTCTTTGTTTTTTTTTTTTTTTTTTTTTTTGTTCTTCTTTTCTTTTTTTTTTCTTTTTTTTTTATAACCATGTGCCCGTTATAAATAGCATAGAATAGTTCGAGTTCTGTTTTTAACTCGAATCATTTCTAACTTTTTATCCGAACATCAATTTAAGCGGGTTCGTTTAGTATAAGAGTTTAAATTAGAGTGATTTTAGTTTTGATTTTAAAATTAAAATCATGATTCATAATTTTAAGTTAAAATCATGATTTTAAAATTAGAATCAGAATAAGGAGTTTGAACTACTCAAAATTAAGGGCTGTGTGGTTTTAAAATCAGAAGTGATTTATGATTTAAAATATCACATTAAGATTCAAACCTTGAATTAGAACCATCCAAACTAAACATTAATTCTAGATGAATCAAATCAGAATTACTTTTTACTTTTTATAAATAAACACTGATTTAAATCCAAAATTATGATTCTTACTTCATAATCCTTATACTAAACAATCACGGAAACTTAATTGGATTTAGAATTTCCATTATTGCATTAAGAAAAATGGACTAAAAAATAAAAGTAACAATGCCTTTTTCTCCTTATCAACTCAACATGTATAAAGAATATATGATCTGTAAATCTAAAAAAACAAAACAAAACAAAACAAAACAAAAAAAAAGAAGCTGCAGTCTGCAACGTGGGGGAATAAATGCGTTTTCCGAACAAATGCGTTTCACGGGGCCAATGGTAGGTGGAATATAATAATGCAGAGCAATAATTTTCACACTTTTTGCTACGAAAATAGATTTTCACACTTGTGTTGCTTGGCACCATGTTGATGCTGCCATTGGCACCATGTTGCCGTTCCTTAAAGGAAACAGTAAATTCTTCTTCTTTGGTTGATGCTGTATCACTTCTTATAGTTTGAATGGACAAATGACTAAAAATTGATGGACGGCAGTGTTAAGCAATTCTACTTATAATAGAGTACTTATAGTAATGTGTACGTGTGAACAATAACATCACATCCCAACAAAATGTGAGAAACTTCAAATATTATTTTTTCAGAGTTTTTTTTATAGGACCTGAAAGAATAAATTATTAAAAAGTTCATGTTTTTAGTCATTATATCTGTATATCCGAAATTGCATACTCTATATATATATATATTTTAATGTGATTGTAATCAGATTTAAGAGTCAAAAACTAGCCTTGTCAGTGGAGATGTCCGATCGGAGAAACTCTTTTTTTTTTTTTTAAGTAAATGAAACTGAGATTTGAGATACTTTTGCGCATTCGAATTAGATTAGTATCTGTTAAGGTCTCGTTCATTTTACCAATTCAAGTTTTCAATTTTAAATTTTTACAATTAAAAACTCTCAGAAAATGTCACATTTAACTTTTTTTGCTACAGTTAAAAGCTCTAACAAATGTCACATATTAGTTTAAATTGAAAACTCGAATCCGCAAAGTGAACGAGGGTTAAGTAACTCTACAAGCCGCGACTCTAGTTTATTAAAACTAAAATGGAAAATAAAGATAAAAAAATTCAACATCCAACGACGGCAAAACAAACAAAAGAAAAAAGATCAGAAAGCAGCAATCCCATTGAGAAAATAAAATAAAACAATAGGAAAGAGACACCTTGAATTCATTTATACAACTTGGTAATATAATAAACAAAGAATTTTTTTGATAACTTTGGATATCTTGAGCAATATTTAATATAAATAAAGAAACGAGACAACGTACAAGGACAAATGAAACCATTTGGTTAGTTGATTAGAATTTTATTAATTTGAACAAAAAAATTCAAACTGTATAGTTTAAATAGTAGTTCGAATTAGTGTTTAGATGTGCAGATAAAATTTTAATTTAAATAAGAAATAAAATTTAAATTTGTATTTGAGAGGTGTGAAAAACATAGAGAGCGGATATCTTTTTACTATTTTTATACGGTTGAACTTAAGCGGAATAAACTTGACAGTTTAATTCAGTTTAAATGGAGAATATAATTCAAACTGCATACTTATGAAATACAAATTCTAACTGTATTCACCGTTCAAATTAAGTTGGACTGAATTATATCAGTAAAAAAATCGGTAGTATGAAATCCGGACTTCCCCAAACACAAGCCATATGCTCCGACATCGTGCTGGCAATGGGGATGGACAGTGAGCACAGGATGACTTTATCTTACATTGATCTGGAAATTAGTGATCGTTCAGTCCTTGTTGACCTTATTCTTTTCTTTCTTTCTTTGTTTTGTTTTGGCTTTTTTTGCAATTGTATGTATAGGACCTCCCTAAATTTTGCGTGTTTCACGGATTGATTCTTAAACTAAACATTTTTGTAATTGACTCCTTAACTTTTTAAATTTGTTGCATTGTTGTTTTAATTTAGAGGCTAATTTCTCAAACGCTTAAAAAGTTTTTACAGGGTTCCATACAAAAAAGCCCTTTTTTCAGAATTATTGTATTTTTCTTTTTTCACTTGTGTACTGTGATTAATCAGGAATTTTTACTCAAATATCATCCATACCCAACCTTAACATTGCATTTCTCTTGTTTAATCTTTAGAAATTTTTTATAATATTTTCAATTTGGGTTTTAATTGCTGGCAATATATATGCAACTAGCAAAAAGGGGGAAAAAATTCGCTAATTTGTAGGATGCACCATTCTGTTCATTAACTAATGACAGAATATTTAGCGAATGATACCTACTGCTGAAAAAGCCTCAATCACATTCACAACTTTTTTTTTTTTTTTTTTTTTTTATAAACTAGTGGAGTAGTTGAGAATGCGCACCAACCTCAGAGATTAGGGTGCCGTGGGCTAATACAAGACACATGCTAGACGGGATTCTTATAATAGGTTTGAATCAAAATTCAGCATTTTTGTTACTATTCTCAGAAAAATTTGACAGTTTTTCACTATAACATCCTCACTCGATAATTGAATGAGAAACAAATAAGCGGTTCCGAAAACTTAATATGAGAAGGGACCTGCGTTGTCCCCGGAGGTTCGAAGTGAGCCTGCAACATAGAATCATGGTAGATCCACCCTCCTGTACTACTTTTGAAATTGAATTATTCCTTTACTTACATGCATAAGAAATATCCAGTTTTAAAGAATGGTTATCAGCAAATGTCACAAAACGATTCTAGAAGGCAATTTCGGAGTATCATGGTAATTTCTTTATACATACATACATATATATATATATATATATATATATATATATATATATATAGACGACCCTGCAAGCTATGTAAAAGATCTCTTTAAAAATCTAAGAGAGAGTAGAGGGGAAATCTAATGAGTGACTATAATAACTTTCATTTTCTTTGTGGACGTAGACATCATTAATGACCGAACCACTATAAACCATTAGTTTTTCATCTTTATTTTTTCTCTATTATTCTTTTTAGTTTATTTGCACTCATCCACTTATTATTTGGGAACATTTATTCCTTTGTAATCAATACTCGTTACTCTGTTATATTCAATCCCTGACGACAGCACAGCGTTACTTGTAAGTTGTAACAGAGAACAGGAAAGAGCAGGAGTTTTTTTTTTTTCTGGAAAAAGAAATTACAGCAATATCATTTAAGATTATTATTATTGGTGCCCTTGAACTTTAGAGTTATTCATAATTTGCCCTAAACTTTGCAAACTCTAAGCATGACTCTGAACTGCTACCGGTGATAATAATCATACTATTTACTAAAGCATGATATCCATTTAACAAACTCGGATTGCCCCAAGGAAAGAGAAGCAGAGCATAAATTATATGGTTAACGCTCTTTAGATAAACAAATTGGACTAACTGAATAAAATGAAAAGACGATAAACAAATATGGCAAGAAAGCAAACTGGGAAAAGAGAGAGAGTCCCACGGTAGAAACGTCTTAGTCTTGTTTCATTCTATTTCATGCAGTAACACATTTGTTTTAGTCGAAGAACAAAGAACTTTTAAACTCGGCAAAATTGGTGCGAAAAACTAATTCTATGAAAACAAAAACTTGGGTGTCACGACTACTAGAGATTACACAAAATTTTTCCTATCCCTCTGACCAATCTATCCAGCTACTATGCTAATCACAAACTCTCATGAACAGAACGAATGGAATTTCAGATTATGGTCTGGATATCTGTAAACATTACTTTTACAAGAAACCAGAGTGGGATTGAATCAACAGAGAGCTTTTATTGTTCCAGCAAATGAATTGAGGCCTGCACTCCATAGGTTGCTCCCGAATCGAAATAATCAAATTACGGTGTTGCACCTTTAAGCATCTGTTGAAGCTGAATCACTTGTTGTTGTTGTTCTGGTGGCAATGAACTTAACTGCTCAGGTGTAAGGTTCAGAACTTGTTGCAACAGAGCAGATTCCACCTCCGATGGAAGCTGCGACTAAAGAAGACAGAAGTGATGTTAAGCCTAATCTCATTAACCACAATAACAAGAATAGTTATTGTTAACTTGAAATTTTACAACAACAGTTTCAACAAGTGCAAAATGTTTGTTCACTACTGTTAAAAACCCTTAACAAGAATATTTTGCACTTTATGTAACTAAATCTGCAAAATTTTCAGTTATTGTTCGCTAGGGATATGATTATCTCTTTGATATTCATAAATCCACCGCCGATTTTAGTGTCCGCAAACAAACTGCCCAAAAAAAGCTCAGGAGTAATCTGCCAAAACACAAGTTCAGAGACCATAGTGCCACAATGCTCATAGTTCATGGACTAACAATGCTAATATCCCTAGTACTTTTCTAGTCGAATTGGTAACAACATTAAAAAGATTACTTGACGGAATGCTAAACGGAAAATATTCACTGAATTAATACACTCATTCTAGAACAATCTATGCTAAACAATCTTTAAACGCACACCCTTCTTACCATGCTTGTATGTACTTAGCCCCTAACTAATCCATTTTCAGCAATGAAATTCAAGAAGTTCTGATGGCACCAGATTACTAATGAGCATGATTAATTCAGTACCAGAATAAAGCTTGTAATATAGGAGCTTTCATAATTCATACAGATTGAACAGTTTTTTGCAGAAAGACAACAACTTAGAGCCCGTGTTTTTCATAGGTTTGAACCACAATTCAAACCCTATTGCAACAGTATTTTCTCTCATAAAAATTCAATTTCAAGTTCAAACCTATGAAAAGAATGTGCTACTAGTCATCTCATCATTGAAACCAAATTTCCGCTCTCTCCAATGTTTAACAGAAATATATGCATTGAGGTATTATTGACAATGACCATGTTGTAATGCTTCAAACTGCTAAAGGTATAAGCAGAACCAAACAACACTACTTGACACGTGTTTCCATAGATGCCCATTTGCACTATTAGCTATCTCCATGTTCATTATTTAGTGGAGATAAATGTGTAGAAGGCAGTATATTGATATAGAGAGGAATCGTCTTGACAGATATTTCTGTGTCTGTTATGCCTAAAGATAGCGAAAGATGACATAATGTCACATATTACAGCATTAATGAGACATGAAAAATGATGCTTTTTGCACCCACATTAAAAAATCTATATTACACTTTATCCAAACAGACTCTTTTTTATGGTTTGTGTTTTGTTAACAGAGATATGAAGGATATCGAGGAAATCAGCCGAGACATGAAAGGTAAGCAAAACTCAGAAATGTGGTTGTGAAATACTAAAAGACAAAAGAAAAACATTACCTGAGATATTTGTTTTCCCGATTCCCGTGCTTCTGATTTAGGAACAGTACTTGCAGGTAAAGAGGCAGCTTCAGGTGGTTGGGGTGGTGTAGATCCATTAGCATTATACAAGTTCAAACTTGCCACGGGTAAAGTTCGATTATCCAGTTTAATCATTTTTGAAGGGCGATCAACTGATGCCATAGGATCAGGAATGAAACTAGTTTTCTCAGCTAACCGCATAGAAAAATTTGAATTAATATTACTTCTGTGGGCCCAAGTTGAATCACCGGAAACTTGAACAGACCTATCAGCATCTCTACTGATTGGCCGTGAAGTACCTGATGATATTGAGGGGCCAGGCTGTTAAAATAAAGGAAGTCAGATAACATTTATATTTTAATAACTAACTCAAGAAACTAAAATGGCCCAAGGCTTGCAGAAGTGTAGCTTCTTGCCATCACTGCTACATGTTTTGTTTTAACAAAAACTATGACCTTTCTCGCTGATAAAATGAAATTCTACAGAGAAAACAAGAACCAAGAGAAGAACTAGGTAGAAAAGAACAAAAAGTGACAAATTCAACTCATCAAGTTCTTCTCCTCTTACCCACCAACCCCAGAAGATATATCAGGTTTCGAATAAATGGCATCTTTGAACCAAAAAAATATACGTCATTTCTTTAATTAGATGTGAATAAGGAGGAAAAAGAAAACGAAACATGGCACCTTATATCCGGCATCTAGTGAGGAATGATGGGATAAGGTAGATGGTTGTATGGTGGCATTTGGATGAACCATCTGAGTACTATGTCCCAAATTTGCAGCTCCAACTTGAATTAGGTTTTTCAATTGAGGGGGCTGTAATTGCTGGTTTATAGAGGATTTTGCCACCTGAATTTGTGGTCGAATGGACAAACTACTTGAAGAATGAGGGTGAAGGGGAGTAAAACTTGAAACTAATGAATGCCCAGGCAATGAAGCCTGTTGCAAAGCATGTTCACTAACAGGTTGTGGAAGCTGTACCCGAGGTGGCATAGGAAGTTGTATGGGTGAAGAAAACTGGTTACGGGCTAAAGAATTTTGAGGCACTATAGAAACGTGGCCTTCTTCAACTTTAGGGAATAAACCAGACTGCATACTACTCTGTGCCAGAGGTGGTCGCATAGAAAGAGGTTGCATTGCCGGCACCTGACCCGTCTGGCTGTCTTGAACTGAACCTTGCCTAAGATTTGGCGTCTGCAACTGCAAGTTTGAAGAAAAAAGTTAATTTTCTCACATGACAACAAGCGATGAACAAATTAATAAGATCAATTTTGGCCTTGACACAAACCACTTGTGGCGTCACCATTCCTAGCATGATTTGTGCCTGAAAAGAAAAAAAAGACAGTGTGTAATGCATGAGTAACAGCAAGCACCAATGAAACTATCTACAGATACATGTACCTGAAATGCATATTCAGCCAAAAATCATGAGCAAATAATTCTTAATTTTAACTTGACAAATAAGACGCAACTATGAACATCCTACAAAGAAGGATGTTGATATGAACACAATTCAAAATACATGTCTACCATCTCCAAATCGTTCTGTGAAGAGCTGCAATCAGAGCATACGGGACAGTTACATAAGGTTTCACTAGAATGACTAGAGACTAAAAGCAATGCTAAAAGTGACGGGAAGGCACCTGGGTATAGCTCTCTAAAGAGGTTAAGATTACCAATAAAAGGGGTACATAAAAAAAAAATCAAAGATCCTTTACAGATAGGAGCTAGATAATAGGAGGAGATTTGTTAGTATTGTCTGGATCATCCTATTTGAAGTAGTCAACTATAGACAGATGTGTGTATAGCAAAGAGTAGGAAGAGAGGCAAGTGCAACGAAAGGGCCTCTGATGAGATGAAACCAGAACACGGATAGCTCATAACAGTCTAACACTGAAAAGCACTTTAAAAAATATCAAAATATCAAAATATCAATAAAAGAGTAAATATAAAAGCAAAACTAACTTCAAAGGAAAGACAAATAGACTTAATCAGTCAGAAAAAAAATGTGAAGGCTTCCGTCCTTCTAAAGACACCTAAAAGCTAAAAAAGCACCTGAAATAGAGCTTTTGGCAGCTGGGGCCTTGCAAGCAATAGCTGCCTAGCTAATTCCTTGTTTCGTGTAGCCATTCCCTGTCATGAGAACAAGCATGAAAGATATACCAAATATATACATATATATATATATATATGTATATGTATATATGTTAAGGTTGAATGTATAGAATACACCCAAACTGCACACCTTCAGCTCAGATATAATTTCATTTAGTTGACTCCTAGACATTTTAGCCAGGTGAAGAGTCAAAGGATCATTAGCCAATGCCAACTGACCCTGTACACCAGCCTGAGGACCACCTAGAGCTCCTGCCATGACAGCTGCACCAGTTATGGCTATATGGAGACCGATTGGTTGATGTTGAGCAGATTCTCCATGAACGGCCGGGGCACCCACTTGTTTTGAAGGGTCTTTGATGTATGCATATGAAACCATAAAATAGTCTTAGTTTTTTGGTGAATAGAAACTTACATTAAAAAATGAACCCCAAAAATAAAATAATATATATATATATATATATATCTTTAGAGGCAAAAGAAATCTAACCAACACTTGGAGCAAATCCAGGTCCACCACGACCCTGCAAAGGAATGAAATTGCTTCAAGGCTTACACTAAGACAGCGTTTAACAATTCCACGAAGCTAGCCACAAGAAATATTCTCCGGACCATCAAGTTAAAAACACATAAAAATAAAAAAGAATCATATGTGGACTCCAAGTTGCACAGTCCAGATTTTCAAAGTCTGAAAAGTGGGAGCTAGAAATGAAAATTGTAACCCAACAGTGGCAACCACAAGACTTCAAGAAAATTAAGAAAGCAAAGAAGAGGTTGTGGATAGTTCACACTTCACCTGTTCTCTGTTTCTATCAGCACCTTTGTCATTCTCGGCAAAGTCAACCCGCAACTGCCGGCCGTTGATCTCATAACCTTGAAGATTTCGTCGAGCACTTAGAGCAGTCTCTTCATCCTTATACTCACAAAAACCATAACCTTTTGGCTTCCCAGTCTCTCTATCAATGACTAATCTGCAAGGAGAGGAGACAAATGAAAATTTCAGACAAAAAGTTCGTTTTTAAGACACCCAAAAATTAAATTGATTCTAATGTAGCTACTTCACAAGCGGAGAGTAATAAAAACTTGGCTCAAATGAGCATATAACCATCACTAACAAATTGCCCCAAAAATACAAATACCAATTCCCTTTTAGTATTAAAAAAAATAGAAACATTATCAATCATCATTCCAAACTCAACAATTCAACCGCAATACAAAGTAAATAATACAAAACTGGAAGAAAACTATGTTCTATCTAGCAAAGATTGGAGCTTTTACTAGTACACTCCAAACATCCTAAAGCCAAATCAGAGCAAAGAAAAAGGAAAGAGAAAAATTCTAGGGTTCTTCAAGAATAACTTTGGGATTCGGAACAGACCTGAACGACACAACAGGCCCAACCTCCTGGCAAATTTCTATGAGCTGCTCCTCAGTAGCATCGTAAGGAATATTGCCAACTGTATCGCAATTTCAATCAGAAACGAAAAATCGCAAGATCAGAACAAAAACACCGAACTCCAACAAATTTGAATGTCGCAAATCGCTGAATTGCTAAAAAGATTCAAAATTTGAGATTTTGCAGATTAAATTTGATCTAAATCTTGTATTGCTCGATTCCTAGTATTCTCGGGAAACAGAGGGAAAAGAAAATGAATAAAGAGAGTACCAAAGACGCAGCGGTGCTGAGAAGAAGAAGCCATGAATCAGGAGGAGGAGAAGAAGAAGAAGGTGAAGCAGTGCTTCATCTTCTTCCTCCTTAGCATCCTTCTCTCACCTGTTTGCTTTCACTTCTTCTTCGGAAAATGCTCTGAATTGATAGAATGAATGAATGAATTTTCTATGAAAAATGGAAGGTTTTCCTTGGTGCGTTAATGGATTCTGAATTTTCAAGAATCGGCAGAAAACGCAAAGAGTGAAGAGCTCGCTAGATGGGTCGGTATCGTGTTGGAGAGCAAAACAGTCAAAAGAAGAGAGAGAGAGAGAGAGAGAGGAGAAGTTCGCTGTTTATCGATCCTCGCCAATCCCAGATTTAATACCACACGTTCTTTTAAAAATATTTTTCCAGTAAATTAAACTGTTGCATTTTAAAGTTATTATTATTTTTTAAATAATTGATCGTAAAATTTCAATTTTAATAAAATGCACTTGTCAACCTCAAAATTAGTAGCAATTGAAGTTAAGTAATGGTATTATCAATTTAACTGCTTGAAATACGAGATTCGCGCATAAATAGTTTATTTCTCCACATTCTGACTTTGTTTAGAAAAATATTAATAGACATTCACATCACTTGTATCAAGCACTATCATTAATAAAATGTGAGCTTTACTTATGGATCCTACATTAGGAGACTCATATTTTATTAGTGAGTGGTACTAAGTACGGTCAGTGTCTTATAATATTACTCTTGTGTTTATGTGTCTCACTCGTCTCAGTTGATTATTGACGTTGTATGTGTTTGCTTATAATTAGATTCGTTTGTAGGTCGTGTCGCGTATGTCCCCAGTACTAAAGATTTAGCCTTGTTCGACTAATTTTATCCATCGACTGTAGTGGTTCTTATTAACGAGCTTTAATCACACTCGATTTTGTTTATATCAAGTCTTTTCTTGTTGGGTCTTGACACTTATGTTTACACACGTAGTTCATCCGTCTTTACTAGTAGATTTAATTAATGTCCGGAGTCGAATTCTCTTACAGGTTGTAGTCATTTGCAACTATTTGTATAATATGTTAATTTATTAATGAAAAATTTCTTTAAAAAAAAGAATGGACTGAATTGTTAATAAGATCACACAAATATTTACATAAATTAACTTTACCTTATGTCATACTCTTTCTATGGCATGGCATATTTAGAATTTCTCAATTTATCCAAACACACATTTATATATATATATATATAAATATATATATATATATGTTTTTGCCTACTAGGAATTGCTTTTATGTTTTAAATTTTAAGAGTCGAACCTATATTTAGAAGTCTTCAAACAAAACATTGTTTTATTGATAACATAATCACAAAGGCTCTATTCTAAGATTACCTCAATATAAAGAGAGATTGTCTCAAATTTTTTTTTTTTTTTAAATGTTGGCTTTTGCCTTTTTCCATAACATGTTTTTTTCTCTTTCATTCATTAACTGTTGTCCGAATAATTTCACTTCTAAAATTCTGGAGTCAAAATTCACCCTCAAATCACGATTGATAAAAATATTTTTTGTTACGTAAAAGGATTATTAAAATTTTTTCCACATAAATAAAAGTTTTTTACCATGTTAATTATTTTTTACCAATTGTAAATAAAATATTTACACGATAAATAACTATTTACTTTAAATAATTTTAAAATCTACTATTTACTTAATTTAATTTCAAAATTCAATTATTTATTACAATTTCCGGTACTCTCTTAAAATAGCCAGAGTTGTCACTTGCCATGAAATTGTGGGTAGCTAATAGAAAAAGCAAGAAGAAGAAATTGTTGGTAGAACGCATACCTGTATACTAATACGAGTATAATTGGTGTGCCAAATATTATTTATGAGATGTATACGAGTATAATTGGTGTGCCAAATATTATTTATGAGACGTTTGATTCATAGGTTCATAACTATGATTTATAATTCTGATTTTTAAAATTTACATTTTTTATAAGAAAAAAACACCGTAGAGAATTAAGAATCATGATTTAAAATCAGAAACGAACCCTTAAAACAAACATCTTATTAGTGATCTTACGTACAAAAAGAAAAAAGTCTTATTTTTACAGAAGTCAAAATTATGTTCCATGACATTTTTTTTGTACAATTTGGTGCGAAATTAAAAAAAAAAAAAAAAAAAAAAAAAAAAAAAAAGAAACAAGACGACAAGTCGAGTGTTCACTGCCCGGAGATTTTGGTGGTGCTTCTGAAGCCCGATCACCACTACCAAGTCCTGTGTGGGAAAGCCTCCATGTCGCCGTTGTGATTTTGGCAGTGCTTACAGAGCCCAATCGCCATTCACTATCAGAAGAATAGCATATGCTAATTGTTCAAATATACTTTTATACAAAATTTGGCTTTTCATGAATATAAATATATATATATATATTAAATTTAAACATGTTTGGTTCATAACTTGTAGAATTGTATACTATTTGTACTTCATATTTTATTTTTGTAACAATCATTGCTAAGATATAACAATATAACACTTGATAGAACTCATAATAGTGAAGATTACACTAGCAAAACAATTGTATATTAACAGTGCTATCACTATTATTGACTTGACAAAGCACATAATTATTCCTTCTTTTTAAGTCATATCGCAAGCAATCAACAGAATTATTCTCCTTTCACTTTTGAACTCCGTTTCATGTACAAATTAAGACCTCATTCACTTCCCGATTTGAGTTTAGAATTTGAGTTTTATTACAGTAAAAAATCTCAAAAACAGTCACATTTAACTTTTTTGCTACAGTAAAAAGCTCACATAAAATCACATCTCAACTCAAATTACAAACTCGAATCAGCGAAGTGAACAGGTCTTAAGAATACCAGGGGAAAAAGGAGCTTACACAAGTGTGTGTGATAAACTGTTCATAGAAGTAACTTCATATTTACGTTTTTTTTTTTTTTTAACTAAAAATTCCAAATGAAAAGTAAATCCAATGTAGAGGCTCATTATTTAAATAACATTCTCCGGCCAACACTTCAGCCAAAAAGAGATGTCTTCTCTAAATCACAAAATATAACAGATATGTGGAAAAAAGAAAATTGCAATGCTTTGTCTTGTCTTTTTCTGAAAATGACATTTGCATTAAATCATTTGCAGTTAGCGATTCATGCTTTAAATAAAGCAACGGTGTGGAGTCATGTGTAAGAAAAGTTACAATGAAAAGACACTAATATTCTTGATTTTTAAAATTATTATCAGTTTACTTTATAAATTTTAAAAATTCTCATTTTACCTCTTGAATTTTAAATTATTCTCACTTAATCATTTATATTATAAAATCTATTTAAAACCGATAGAGAAATATAGAGTAATACAGTTACATAGTTATTCTATTTGAATTTCTATTTAAAAAAAAAACAAATAAAAACTACGCGCACTTAACTCCCTTATTTTTCATATGATTTTAACATAACTTCTTACCAAAGGCTTAAATGAGACAAACTCAAAATTCAAGAAGTAAAGTGAGGATTTTCAGAGTTTAAGGAGCAAAGTGTAAATAACCTCAATGTTCAAGTCATTTCGAAACCACACAAGTCAGCCAACTAAAAGGAGTGTTGTAGACGCCTATACGCTTAAAAGTAAATGAATGGCAAGCAGAACATCAATAGATAAAAGGTGCTTGGTACAAAAGAAATTTTACATACCTATTGTTAGAAACATCAGAGCTACGGTCCGTTCATTTTCACCGATTCAAATTTAACGACACATTTGTTTTCGATATTCGTCCCTGATTCTGAATCATGATTCATAGTTCTCTACAGTATTTTCTCTCACATGTAAAATCTATTTAAAACCGATAGAGAAATATAGAGTAATACAGTTACATAGTTATTCTATTTAAATTTCTATTTAAAAAAAAAAACAAATAAAAACTACGCGCACTTAACTCCCTTATTTTTCATATGATTTTAACATAACTTCTTACCAAAGGCTTAAATGAGACAAACTCAAAATTCAAGAAGTAAAGTGAGGATTTTCAGAGTTTAAGGAGCAAAGTGTAAATAACCTCAATGTTCAAGTCATTTCGAAACCACACAAGTCAGCCAACTAAAAGGAGTGTTGTAGACGCCTATACGCTTAAAAGTAAATGAATGGCAAGCAGAACATCAATAGATAAAAGGTGCTTGGTACAAAAGAAATTTTACATACCTATTGTTAGAAACATCAGAGCTACGGTCCGTTCATTTTCACCGATTCAAATTTAACGACACGTTTGTTTTCGATATTCGTCCCTGATTCTGAATCATGATTCATAGTTCTCTACAGTATTTTCTCTTACAAAAAACACATGTAAAACGAGAATGATTTTAAATCATAATTCTGAATCTATGAACTAAACGTCCACTATATCGAAAGGCAAACACAAAATAGAATGCAAGCCAAAGACAGAAATAAAGGGACCAAATTAGCAACATTATACCAGAAAAATAGAATCTCTAAAGCATAAATGTAGTCTAAGACTTAAAAATAAAAACAAAGAGACCGCAAATGGAAGATGATCGAGATTTTTAATGTTAAAACTCTAATTTCCTGTTACTAAGATGGTGTTCATATCAAAGAAGCTAGAAAAAAGAAAATCATAACATGAACAAACTGAATCCCTACCAAGGGGGGTCAAAATTTCCTTAGTTACATTTATAACCACGAGTCATAGATATGCGCTAACATTAGACAAACATACAAAGCAATAATCCGGACTATCCAAAGCACAGTTGTTCCCAACTTAACAAATAAAAAAGAGCAGTGGAAAAATGAACAAGGATGAAGACGATTAAAATTATCATTGTTCATAATTTCAAAAATGACTAGAAAATCTCAAACAACCTATATTGAAGTTATATACTTAGTTACCTATAAACAAATTACGAACAAGTTGGCCCTTACAACCAAAATTCACATAAAGATCTGTAACCATTTATTCTTGTATTCTGCTGGCCACTTAATAAATACCAAAATCAAGAACTGCAATGAAAGTTCCTATTTACACATTCATGCAGTGATACCCGTCCCCCATAGTCTCACAGACCCAAGAACAACCCAAAAAATAGCAATTACAGCCACAAGAAGTGGAAAGAAGAAGAATCCTCTTTTTCTGCATGAGCTCTTTGTGGTTTCAGAATCACTACCTGCAGAAGTATTTGTGTTCATGACATTCATTCTTATCCTACTAAAGCTGGGCATTCGTCCCAAAGCCTGATTCACCAATGCGTTCTCTGCAGCTGATGCGGGATTAGTAGGTATTGACTCCACAAAGGACCATATAGCAGAAGAAAACCAAGTTGTGGCACCACTATCGTCATTGCCATTTTGATTTTGATTCACTTGCATAATCAGAAGTTAACAAAATTAGCCAATGAAAAGACCATAGCTCAAAAAAATTCTCATCGATATTCCAGTTTTTCACAACAAACTAAAGTTCCAATCATTGAAAACAAATGATACATGAAAATAGAAAGTGCTCGCTCAAAAAGAGCTCTTGAAGCTGATCAAAATCCTAATCACACATAGCTTTGTGCCATGGGGATGATGTGCAACCTCAATTGAAGAGCTGTGTGTGAGAATGCGAATGAAGCCAGCAACAATACCCAACCAAATACACTGCTCTGTGAGCATTTTAGCTATTTGAAGCTGTGCAAAGAATGAATCTGCAAAAATTATATACCTGAAGTTTGATCAGAATTAGAGCCGGGATAAAACTCTGCTGAGGTAAGGACACTTCCTTCTTGCTCATGTGCCTGAGGTGCACCATCTGCCTGGAACTGATAATTAACTTGGTTTGCATCATTCAGAAACATTTGATTAACAGTTGGGCTTTCACCTTCTACATAGCGCTGATCAACATCCTCACAGGGACCAAAAGGATTGGAATCTAAATAGTACTCATACTGATCAATAATCTCGTTAGTACCAGGCCCTATGTCATTCCAAAACATGGCTGCATCATGATAACAATCAAGCTCACTTAACCCATCTGCCTCTTCAACCTGAACGTTATGCAGGGCTTCCTCCACAGTTCCTTGGGCAGGTTCAGGACCAAGCAAATCATCCATTTCAAGGAAATCCGCTTCAGGGAGTATATAAATCTCCTGTTCATGAATTATTGGATCTGCTGCAATCTGAGGTGCCACAGGTACTTGCAACTCGGCAGCTGGCGGTGTGAAGTCAAAGCTGGACTGCAAATTACACTGCACACCATTGACAGAGAATAGATTGACAGGTTCATGAAAAATAATTTCCTTGTGGGGTGGGTCCACCATGGTATTTTTCACTTCTTTACAGACAACCTGCAAGATAAATTGTATGTCACTAACTGACAGTAAAAGGCCAAATTTTATAGATCATTACATATCAGCTTTTGATGCTCAAAGTAATACTAATCAAAATCTGGGTTGGGCAGAAATTTGGATAGTCAAAAATTATAAATAACCCAGGAAAGTTATAGAATCATGTGGGAATTTCACAATGCAACATATTTCGATAACTCTCATTTTATATATTATTTTATTTTATTTTGGTTTGCAGGCAGTATATGAACAAGGTAAAAGTTCTATTAAGTTCTAATATAAACTGAAGATGGATATTTTTTTCTATGACCACAGTTATTACCATTTCATTGCCAAGTAGGCAAACACCCTTTTCCAGAACTTACAACTTTGAGTCGAACAACTACCTGATAGTGAAGTCAAGTTCAACTCGCCGTCTTTCCAAAACAGCAAAAAAAGGTACTATCTATCTAGACTCTGCCAGCATTCCAGGAAAATAACATCCAGCACATCAAAATGTAACAAACAATTTTTTATGTATATATACGGCAAAGAGGAGTGTGAAGGGAAAGAACCACTGCTTAAGGTTTTTCTTTTCTTGGTGTGTGTGTGTGTGGTTTTTTTTTTCTTTTTTATATATTTATTTGTGTGTGTGTGTGTGTGTGTGTTTGTGTTGGACTTGGCGATCCAAGTGAGCTGGAGTTCAATTCATAGTAATGCCTATCCAGAAAACACATAGCCAACATATCTGATAAAACAATCTTTTCATCACTTAAACTTAACTCCAATGTAACAAGAGTATCGAAAGAAACACAAATGCTGGAGACAAAAGAAACATAGTGGCAGATAATATACCTGAGATGGGGTTTGAGCATAAACATTGACTTCCGCCAGGTCAAGCAGAGAATCTTCAGTTATATCTTTCATGAGCTCCTCAAATGTAAAAGAAGGGACTTGACTGTCAACTTTGACGTTATCATTCCGCAAAACCTCATCAACTTTCTCCACTGGAATTTCCAGATTGGCAGAATTATCAAAATCTGGACAGTCATGGTTCCAATCTTCTTCCCTGAAAGGTGCCCCATATTGTTCGCCATTTTTGGGACCAGGTCCACTTTTTTTGAATACCTTGTAAAGCGCATAATATTCCTGCAAGAAGAAAGGTAAGAAGGCGATTTAGTTAACGAAGAAAGAAATCTTCTATTTTCTTATGAAGCCACTCAAATTCATACCTGTGCATCCTGGCATCTTTTGAGCTCCTCCTCATCCAAAGTATACTCATGCATCACCCAGTCAGTGCGTTCACCATTAGGTGCACGACCCCTGTAGAAGACCAAGGTCTTTTTCACCCCAACTGATCGAGAATTACTGGTTATAGTACGATCTTTTCCTGTTGCTTTCCAGTACCCATGCCTTGTTGCTCTGTTCGACCTTGCCCCATTAGGGTACTTCCTATCTCTTGGGTTGAAAAAGAACCATTGCCTATCTCCAGTTTGCAAAATGGACAGAGCTGCGCATCAAGTTCATTTTCATGAGTTAGAAAACCGATTAATCGCTCAAATTTTGAACAAATTCATATTGTTGCCTACAACAAAGATTACTACAGAGAAAGGTAGTTGCAAATCCCAATCATTTGAAACTACTCACTATACATGTAATACAATGATAACCCAATTAAAATAATAATAATAATAATAATAATAAAGTTCATTGCACACAAAACAAAGTGTTACCAATACCATACATTGCAACAAAAACCACACAAAAATAAATTTTTCAAGATTCATAGGATACAAAATGGAAGGTGGCCATATCTCTACCCCCTTCAGCCCCCTCCAAACCCTGGTGAAGGTAGGATTTGATCCCAGTCCTTGAAAGTTGATTATAACACTAAGATTTGCCTTTAACCTTCCCCAGACACCAATTAAGGTGGGATTAGATCCAGACCCTCAGATTCAGCAATAAAAGTGGTCTTAAACCTTAGGATTTAATTTAGATCCAAAGTTTACCACTAATAACTTTACAAACTCCACCTACACCTTCAAACTCAAAGAAACAGTAATGCTAACGTTTGAACAACATAAGCTCAAGGTCCCTAAAGTGATACACCTTCAAGTTGAAGTGAACCCAACACATTCAAGTTTCAAGGCGTCGACACAAGATACTAACACTGCACAAAAACCCTAAAACTAATAGTACAACCCACTTATATTATTTTTAAACAATAAGAAGTTTCAAAGAGAAAGAATGGACACAATGGACTTGTTTGAGAAAGCTAAATTTTCCTCATCATTGTGGCTTCGAACGTCATAAAATCTTCAAGGACTCCCCGCTTTCTCTATGATTAAGTTAAACTGGAGGGATGTTACCGGGAGTTGATGGCTCTTTGTATTAGTTTTTCCTAAATTTTCCTTTTGGCTTCTTTCTTTACAGTTTCCGCCCCCCTTTTCAGAGTACTTCTCATCCTGTTTCCTTTGTAAATGATTTCTATTTCGTCAATAAAGGAAGTTTACTTATTAACCAAGGAAAAAACAATAAATTTGTAACAAAACCTGAATCCACTCTAATCTATCAAGTACACCCTATTAACCAAAATTAACTTCATAATCATTACTTCATTTTGTTAAGGAAAACCATACTTACTTCAACACTAAATTCTGGACACAAGACTTTAAATGCAAGCACAAAAGGACTAACCAAAACTCTTATTTGAACAAAAACTTAGCCTCACTAAACCTACAAAGCACACAAACCAAGTTGAATCCAAAACCAACCCACAAAACTTTAAAACTAATCCATTTTTCAAAGGTCACACAATTTCTACCAAAACCCCCATCACGGGAAACCAAAAAGGCATTGGCTTGTACGGACACCCATCTACATCTCAAATACAGGCCTATTATTCTAACGCAAAGAAATAACAGCAAAACACCAGAATTCAAAAACCAATTTCTAATACAGAAAAATAAAGCCAATTTTAACCGCAAAATCGAACAAAACCAAAGCAAATCCAGAATAATCGATCAGAACTATACATACATAAACTACAAAACGAACATGATCAAAGACATACAATCCAAACATTCGACAGAAAAAAAAAAAGAAGACAGAAGGAGGAAAGACATACCGGGAAGTTCCTCTGGGTCCCGCTTGTAGACATCAGTCTCAGCGATGATGTTGAGCTTGAGCTTCTTCCCACAGATCTTCCTCTTGAGATAGTAGAGGACCAGTTCCTCATCCGTCGGGTGGAACCGGAACCCCGGCGGCCACTCCCGCTCCTCTCCCAATCCCCCAACTTGCGAAACCTCCGACGAAACCATTGACCCCAGTAAAACAAAAAAGAAAATTCCCCAAACAAAATTTTCCCACGAAACAAACAAACAAACAAAATTCCAAAACAAAAACAAAAAGACTACTTCTTTTCTCTGTTTTTCCGCTCAACAAAACTGGGTCTGAAAATTTGGGATCAGACCGAAAGAAAAAGCTACATAATCGAAGAGGAGATTTTCTTGTTATGTTGTTGTGGTCAAAGAAGAAATAGAAATGGTGGTGGGCAAATAAGAGAGAAGCTTCCTGGCAAATGAGTCCCTATTTATACTCGAATCTTTTTTTTTTTTTCCGACAAGCGGTAGTGATTGGTTGTGTGGTTTAGTGAGTACTTGGTTCACTGTAGGAGTGAGATAATACATGGTGTGGAATTACAAGTCCACTGTTTGGATCAAGAATTGGGTTAGTCTCATGGTGGTTTTATTGTATTTGATTATTTTTATTATTTTCTATTTTTTATGTTTTCTTTTTCGTGTGGATAAATATTTTTGTTTTATTGTAGTGACTTTTTTTTTATTTATCTTTTTTTTTGTTACATGAGCTTTTAAAAATGGGATTTTTGTGAAGCAGGACTGTTTGGACAGCTATTGTCGTCAAGGACAGAATAGTAATTCTTGTTTTCTTCTCTTGTTTTTTAGTAAATGTATTTTTTCTTCCTCCCGCCATAATGGAACGAGTATGTTTTGGCAAGTAAATAGTTATTTTACTAAGGGCATGTTTGTTTCACAAGAGAAATAGTAGGAAATAGGCCAATATGAAAAGCTTAAGAAAATATATAGGCCAACTTTTAGTTATAGAAATTAATAGGCCATAACTTGTCAAATTATGGTTCATAACCAGATAAGTTATGGACAAACTTGTCAAGTTATGGTTCATAACTAGACAATTTATGGACAAAAACTGAGAATAACTTGTTAAGTTATAGTTCATAACCAGACAAGTTATGGACGAAAACAATAATTTGGCCTATTTATTAACTTATGTAAACTATTGGCCTATTAATTTTAATTCATCTCAAGTCTTGGTCTATTTCTCTCTTTCTCCCGTTTCACAATTTAAGGGCCCGTTCACTTCGCTGATTCGAGTTTGTAATTCGAGTTGAGATGTGATTTTATGTGAGAGTTTTTTACTGTAGCAAAAAAGTTAGATGTTGTTGTTTCTGAGTATTTCTGAGAACTTTTTACTGTAGCAAAACTCAAATTCTAAACTCGAATCAGTGAAGTGAACGGGACCTAAGTTCTTTGCAATTAAAAATTTAAATTGTGTATATAAGAGAAAAATATTATAATAAAAAGTTAAATTTAAATTTTTATTAAAAAATACTGTAATAATGCAATTTAAGTTTGAAGCATCGGACATTTGTTGGAATATGAACAAAAATATATAGGGGTTGTTCTTTTACATTTTTGAGTTAGGGTGACTTGAGTGATGATCTTAAGTTAAGTTTGAGTTATAACTTGAGTTGAAGTTGTAACTTAAGTTTGTGTTTAGATGTGCACATTTGAGTTATGACTTAAATTAAGAATCTTTTCAAGTTTGTATTTTAGTGGGTCAAAACTTAAATTTATATTTAAATTGTATTTTAATAAAAACTCAATGGTTATGACTCATGACAAATTTTAATAGGGTATATGAGTGAGGTTTTATTCGTCTTTTCGTTGTGAATGCATAGAAAAAAAATCATCTCAATCAGAACTAAAACGAAAAAGTTATGACAGTTTTCAAAATAGAAAAAATATTGTTCATTAACTTGAGTTCGAGTTTATGAACTCGAGTTGAATGAGAAACTTGAACTCGAGTTTAACTCTAAACTCGAGTTCAAACTTAAATTTTATAAAAGAATATGAACTTAAATAAAGTTATAATTTGAATTAAAATTTTTTTTTGAGTTTAACAACCCCGTAGTATTTTCTAGTATCGGACATTCTTTAGGCATTTTTTTTTTTAAATTTTTTATGTTTATTTTTTCTTTTTCTCGAGATAACAGAATAATTTATTCAAAAAAAAAAGATGACAGAATAAGAAATTTATGGGAAGTAAATTATTATCTTTCTTAATAAAAAATAGTAAACAATTATTTTACGAAATTTTAGAGACCAAATTTACATGGTACTTTAAACATTGTTTGTTGACATTTTATCAATATTGGAGTAAAAAATCCTCTTGTCCTCTGTTTTGTCTAAAATCCGTCAAATTACTAAAAACTGACATAAGTATCTTGCTCGTGTGTATCCAAAATTCTGCAGGTCCTCTTACTCGACACTTTTGGTGGGGCCATCTCGGTTCTCGTCTCGGGGATGACTGCAAGAACAGCAGTTTTCTTCTTCTGCCTTGCTATGATTAAAACTTTCGATGATAACTGTGGACTCTGGTTACCCGGTAATATCTTCTATCTTTTCTTCCACAATAATAACACTGCTTATCTTGACGTCCACCATCAAGTTCAACTACAAGGCTTGAAGTACCGGCCGTTCATTTCACTAACTTGAATTTTGTTACAGTAAAAAGTTCTCAGAAATAATCACATTTAACTTTTTTATTACAGTAAAAAATTCTCACATAAAATCACATCTCGACTCGAATTAAAATCTCGAATCAACGAACTAAACAGTAACAGCGACGAAATCCGAAATTTTTATGAGATCAGAAATCTTTGCGAGGGAGGACTAATTTTAACTAGGTCAAAATTTAATCAAAATTAATTGTTAAGGTACTACAAATTGCCCCGTATGGCATTTCATGTCTTAAAAATATTACATAATAAGAATATTATCAATGTTATTAAAGATAATTTTCTCGGCGTACACAAGTAAATTAATTAATCAATTGATCTCTAATTTGATTATGTAGTCAATTCTTCACAGTATTGATGATAGAAGATACTCTTTCTACAATATTAGTAAGAAGAAGTAGAATTAATGTTAGAAGTAAATAAACTAATAGACAAGTATTGTTCATTTTTAGTTACGAAAGACTTTGAAAGTTAAGATTAGTAGTATTTTTTAGAAAGTAGTATTCTTAAAGGTATTGCTTCAAAAATTAGTACTTAGCCATTAATCTTCCTGATATGGGATAATTATAAACTTCTTGAAACTTATATGCCATTTAATCTGCTTAATGGCCAATTTTCAGGCTCCTTATATCTTCACCCTTTTTCTTGGAAGAAATCATGTTATGTTACTCTCTTGTACTATTGCACGTACATAGACGTTTGGTTCATGGATTAGAATCATGAGATTAGAATTATTTTTGATTTACGTGTATTTTTATGAGAGAAAACACTGTAGCAAACCATGAACCATGATTCGAATCGGGGTACGAATCCCTCAACCAAACAACCCCGAGTGATTTATTTACCTCATGTTTGATCACATAAAGTCACATCTCGACTCGAATTAAAATATCGAATCAGCGAACTAAACAGTAACAGCGACAAAATCTGAAATTTTTATGAGATCAGAAATCTTTGCGAGGGAGGACTAATTTTAACTAGGTCAAAATTTAATCAAAATTAATTGTTAAGGTACTACAAATTGCCCCGTATGGCATTTCATGTCTTAAAAATATTACATAATAAGAATATTATCAATGTTATTAAAGATAATTTTCTCGGCGTACACAAGTAAATTAATTAATCAATTGATCTCTAATTTGATTATGTAGTCAATTCTTCACAGTATTGATGATAGAAGATACTCTTTCTACAATATTAGTAAGAAGAAGTAGAATTAATGTTAGAAGTAAATAAACTAATAGACAAGTATTGTTCATTTTTAGTTACGAAAGACTTTGAAAGTTAAGATTAGTAGTATTTTTTAGAAAGTAGTATTCTTAAAGGTATTGCTTCAAAAATTAGTACTTGCCATTAATCTTCCCGATATGGGATAATTATAAACTTCTTGAAACTTATATGCCATTTAATCTGCTTAATGGCCAATTTTCAGGCTCCTTAAATCTTCACCCTTTTTCTTGGAAGAAATCATGTTATGTTACTCTCTTGTACTATTGCACGTACATAGACGTTTAGTTCATGAATTAGAATAATGAGATTAAAATTATTTTCGATTTACGTGTATTTTTTGTGAGAGAAAA